CACCACGCTCTGAGGCGGGTCCTGTCGTCATCCCCACTCGATGGGCAGGGGAGCGGGGCTCTGAGAAGTCAGCACTTTCCCCCACAGCACTTACTGGCCTGCAATTACGCATTTACTCTCCTATCCTGTCCTTCATCTCTGTCTCCCCTGCTGGACTAAAGCTCAGGGTGGGGGAAGCAGTTTGGATTTCTGACTGGCACCATTCACTCAGCTAATGCAGACACTCAATAGATAGCTATCTGCTTAATGAATGGATCCAACCCATAACTTGTCCAAGGTCCCCAGCTGCTGAATGGCAGAGAGAGGCTAAAAACCCAGGCGCTGGCTCCAGCACCATGCCAGCATGCCGTCCACCCTGCAGAGTCCCTGCACAGCACTGCCCTGCTCCCTGCCTCCAAATCCCAGGGGGCAGGGGCAGAGCTGCCCCAGGACAGGGAGGGAGCACTCTGAGCAGCCCAACTCCGGGAGGGCAGCCGACAGCACCGCCAACACCCAAATGCTTACCTCCCCAGCTCTCTCCTGCCCCAACTGAACCCTCAAACCTGTAGCGAGGGCTTCTCACATAATAAAGAATAACATTATCACGTAATTGAATCACAAAGCATTTCACCCACAGAGCACGAGTGAACCCTGCAAAGCCCTATGAGGTAGTGGGTGTCACGCTCCCCAGAGGCTGAGGGGTGGAAGAACACCCGCCACCTGACATGCATGTCGCCAGGCCCTCTCCACTGCATCCACTCACTCCCTCCTCACCATCAGCCTGCAAAGCTGTCGCCATCCCCCTTGTACAGATGGGAAACTGGGACTTGGAGAGGATGGAGGACAGCACTGGGGCCCTACCACCAGTCACTGAGAGCCCGCAGTGAGCCCAGGGCACCGGAGACTGGAGATGTGCGTCCCACCAGGAAGCAAGTCCCCCTGCACAGGGTGGGTCTCCCCTGCAGGAGACCACCGAGGCCTGCTCAGAGAGCCCAGGCCCACCCAGCCCTGGGAGTAGGCATGGCTTCAGTCTGGCCCGCTGACCCCTCTCTCTATAGCCACCCTTCGATCATTGTTTGATATTCCAAACAGGATCCCAGACGATCAGCCTGGGGGTGCCCTGGCAGTCTTCCTTGGGCATCACCACCCAGCCCTGCTGAATGGGGCCTCCAGACTCAGGGGGCTGAGCTGGGAGAAGGCATGGGACCCCCAGGCCACTGCAGCAGACAGATAGTGAGAGCAGTGGACACGCTGGCCAGGAGGCAGGGGACATACGGAAGAAGGTGGGAGAGTGGGGCCCTAGTGGTCTGACAAGCAGCAGAAGGTTTGGGGGCAAAATGGAAGCCAACAGGCCGGCCCAGGGCCCTTCCCCACTTCTCCATCCTGAGCCTCGCCCCTCTCTGCACCCTGCACCCATACAGGGGATCTATGGCAAGCCTAGAACACAACTGCTGGGGTGGAAAGGAGAAGCACATACTCTCTCATCATACTCTCCTGAACATTCTAGTGAAAGTCAGGGTCCTTACTTGGATAAAAAATACAATTCATAATGGCCATGGTTGGGTCCTTCTGAGTCTTGAGTCCCACAAAGAGACAAGCTTCCAAGCCTCCCCCAGCACACCCCCAAACCTCACTTGGTGTTTTAATTGTTCCAGAGCAGTGAATTACTAGCACCTCTTCCCCATCCAGCCCACCAGCCCCGCAGCCCCTCTGGCTCAAGCGATGTCCGCAGCAGGTCTGGGGCCTGCTTGCACAGCCTCTTTCCAGAATCCCCGCAGCAAACCAATGACAATTTCTTCCCACTTGGGGTACAGGCCTGGACCCAGCGTTATGGACTATATGATCGTAAAGTTGCCAGGCATTGTGGGCTGCCGTAGAAACTGCCCAGAACACAGAAGACGAATGCACAGCTGCCGTCTATAAAAATGTCACAGCCTCAGAAGAAGCTGCCAGTTCGGGCTCTGATACTGCGCGACGCTCACATTGATTAGAGAGAGTATCTGCCACAGTTATTTTGAGTCCATCCAGGTTCTCCCCAGGGCCTCTTCTTAGAGTGGTCTTTTCCTCCTCAAACAGCTCTCTCGCGGCCATGTGTTGAACAGGCAGGTTCCTTCTGCTTTCTACATGCTTTCCCAACCTAAGAAGTTTGGCGCAGCAAAGATCAGACTTCACCCTAAGATAACTCACCTCTGCATGCCAACCCTGAAGTCCCCAGGGGAAAAATCCAGATAGAGAAAGGCCTTTCTGACTCTTCCCAGACTCTTCCCAACCGTCCCAACCTCAAGTCCCATCGCATCCCACTGGACACAGCACGTGTCAGCCCCAGGGCAGCGCTGGCCCATTCGCCCAGCAGGCCAGGAGCACTCACACCTGCAGGCCTTTTGCTCATACACTTCCTCTTTCTGGCTGCTGTCTTCTCTGCTTGACAAAATACAACCCAACCACTGCTGGTTCCCAAAGTACCCTGATAAAATGGCCTATCCTCTGAGAAGACCCTTTACTCCAGAAAAGGGCTTCTCACCCCAATGTTCCCACCAGCAGCCCCATCATGCTGCGTGCCTGGCCCTCTCCCAAAAGCTTACAGTCGGATGTCCCCTGCCCCGTCCCCTGGACTATCCATCCCCGAGGGCAGGGAGTTGCTCACTCCAGGCTGGAGCTTCAGCACCCGGGGCAGTTCCTGACTCTGTAAGCATCTGCTGAATTAAATTACAAGGTTCTTATGATCCTATCATAACAACGGCTCTCATTGAGCAAGCATCATAATGGACCAGGCACTTCCCACACATTACCTTCAATCCTCACATGAACCAGAGACCTTATGTATCAGCAGCTCCATTTTCCTGATGGAAAGCAATTCAAGCTCAGAGACGTTAAGTCACTTGCTCAAGGTCACACAGCAAATAGCTGACTGAGCTGGGGCTCCAACCTCGGCAGTTGGAGCCCTGACTCTTTCCTCTGCACTAGGAAACTCAACATCTCTTTTCGTCACAGAAGAGCTCAAACGTTCACAAAAGTCAAAACAGACACACGCCTCAAAACTAAAGATGAAGAGAGAGCAAGGAATGAGATGACTTCAAGATCAGACCAAAAAGCAAAGGAGAGGGGCTAAGGTGTCTCCGACCTAGGCTGCTACCAGGGTAGCAGCTGCAGGAGAAATGCCCCATGGACACGGCCAAGGAACAGAGTAGGTCCAGAGGGAACATGTGTGGAGGGTGACCCTGCAGCTTCAGGGGTCCTCTGGACAGGTTTCTGACCTCAGTCCCTCCCCAGGGCCACACACGATAAGGCAGAGTTGCCCCCAAGCAAACTCGGTTTGGTCCAACCCCTCCCCACAGCAGCATTTTTCCCCAGACCCACACCCATGCCCTCACCCACACACAGATGCCACCGAGGTTGCATCGACATTGCAAATTCTCAAACCTCAGCGGGAATTTTTCAGACTCAGCCAAGAAGAGTCAGGGGCAAAGTGTGCTCACTAACTGCTGCCCTTGGTACAGACCTGGATCCTGGAGACAGCCCATAAGGAATGTGCTCAAAAGTTATCAAAACAGCCCTGACTGGTTTGGCTTAGCCTTAGTGGATAGAGCATCGGCCTGAGGACTGAAAGGTCCCAGGTTCGATTCCGGTCAAGGGCATGTACCTTGGTTGCGGGCACATCTCCAGTGGGGAGTGTGCAGGAGGCAGCTGATTGACGTTTCTCTCTCATCGATGGTTCTAACTCTCTATCCCTCTCCTTTCCTCTCTGTGAAAAGTCAATAAAATATTTTTTAAAACTTATCAAAATAGATATGTGTTTCCGGAGAGCCGCGGCAGGTGCCCGGCAGCATGGAAAGAAGGAGCAGGCAGGTTTCAAAGCAGCTGGCGTGGTCTCCAAAGTCCAGCTCAAAAACCTCCCGAGGCCATCCTCTCTGTGAGCAGCACAAAGGCCCTGCATGTGAGCAAAACCTACACACACAGCCATACATAGGGGCTCCCGCACTGAGGTGACACCACTACACCAGGAATTCACACAGACGCATATTCTGCAAGGAATCTGGGGAAACAAATTATATAGGTCTGTAAACACACACACATGCTAACCCTCCACATGCACACACACGCCCTCCCAGTCTCATCTGGTCTAGAAAGGGCTGTTTCCTCCAGAATTCAGAAGTGAGAGATGCGGAGAGAAACTGTGGTTTTGTGACCTGTCATGGTCAATGCCTTTAACCTCTTGTCTCCCCCTCCAAGCCCTTGCCCTCTCAGCGTTATTCACGGAATTCTTGGTCCAGGTCGCACCTCTCCCTCTCTGGGTGCTGAATGTAACAAACCCGAAGCCCCAAACCCAAATCCCTCAGGTCCCATTGTCTGCCAGGGTTGGGGATGGCTGGATATGGGAGCAAGGGGGGGCGGGGGAGCACAATGCTAGACACCTACAAGGGAAGAATTCTTACGGTTCTGGGGCAAACAATGGGAGGAAGGGAAAGACAAACTTCCACTCCATCCCGTCATGCCCCCCAGCACCAGCCTGCAAGCCCTCAGAGCCCACATCCACACACCCCACTCCCACGTGCCCAAAAGGAGACATGGTTCCTGGCAAGCGCGAGGAGCTTCCCTCCTGGGTGCCAGGAAGGCTTTCTGGCACCAATCCGCAGGCACCGGAGGAATAAAGTGCTGGTGCAGTGGGGAGGGCCCGCCAGTGCTGAGCGCAGGGTGCAGGTGTGAGGATGAGAACTGACAGCCCCGCCGGGAGAGAGCCCTTTGAATCCCGAGAAAGGAAAACAGTGGCGCTCCTGGCTCCTAGCTCCTGGCTCCTGGCTCCTGGCTCCTGGCTCCAGGCTCTTGGCTCCTGCCTCCAGGCTCCTGGCTCCTGCCTGGTTCCTGGCTCCTGGCTCCTGGCTGGAGCAGGACCCTGGCAGGCACTGACTCGTCTCCTGGCTGCGAAGCCCAGCCCCGGCGGTCCTACCCCCAGTTCTGAAGTGCGTCTGAGAGGAAGGGCCACCTCGGGGCTCCCTGCGGGCGAGGGCGGGGGCGATACTCACAGGCGCTCGGTGTTCCGTGGGATGTTCTTGGGGATGGCCTGCAGCCCCGTGCCGTGACAATCCACCGTGGTGCCCGTGCAGGTGCAGAGGGCGGGGCACGCCCTGGCACCCAGGCGCCACGCGACTGCCCACAGCAGCAGCCAGAGCTCCGGACGGACGAGCCCTGCCGAGGACCCGCTCCGGGGCGTCAGCGCCATGGTGCCCTCACGCGTCCCTCTGGCGTGCCAGACGGCGGCAGCCGCTGACCATGCCCGCCCGGGGCGGCTTCCAGGTGCAGTCCCGGGGCAAAGCCGCCCAAGAGACCGCTGGCTGGTGCGCGGCGCCCTTGCGGGCTGGAAGGCACCTGGCTCCAACCGGCGCGGATGGAGGCAGGGCGCCCGAGGCGGAGCGCGCTCGGCTCCTCTCCGGTCTCTCTCCGCTCCGGCTGCGTCTCCTCCCCTCCCTCCCGCTCCCCACAGACCGCCGAGAGGAGGGAAATGGGCAGGCCGCGCGCTCACGCACCCGCGCGCACAGGCGCACAGCCACACACTCACTCCCGCACGCTCGCTCCCACCCGGTAGTCATCCGTCAATCGAAAAGCTCACATCCAAACACCAGACTCCGCCCCGCCCTCCCCCCACCCACCCACTCCCCCCCACACACACCCCTCCCCGCCCGGGCCTCCTAAAGACCGCTCCGCGCCTGCTGCCAGCAGCGTCCGGTTTCAAAGGTGGAACCTACAAGGCGCCGCGAGCGAGCGAGCGGGTAGGGGGCTGCGGGGGAGGGGGTGTCTCACGGTGCGACCCGCCGTCTGACCTTTGCCGGCTGCACGCGCGCACACACCACACACACACACACGCACGCAGAGAGGATGAGCACCCTTAGACGCGAGGATCCGGCACCCGAAGCCCCCGCTGCTGATCCAGAGCGGGGAGAGGATTTTATTTTGCCGCCTGGACCCTTTCCCCTGCGCCACAGACAGGCTTTCCTCAACGGCAGAAACTGCTCCTAGCCCCTGGAGCTTCCTTCCTCAATTCACCGTGAGAGGAAGCCCTGTGCCCCAGGTGGCCATATCCAAGCACCCACCTTACTTAGCGCAAGACCTTGAGGGTAGAGTCTGGGGGGGAGGGAGGGGTCCTAGGCCAAAGACAGTCTCCTCCCCTCCATCAATACATTCACAGTCTCCTCCAAGATGGCAGCAGCCCACTTTCCTAGGGGAGCAGCAGCCAGCTGCACCCAGAGTGAGAATGGCCTTGATTTGGGCATTGCACCTCATGGGGATGGTATTTCTGCCCATGGGACTATGGCGGCTTCCCAGGTGGTAGGGAGCCGCGCAGGGTACCAGTGGAGATTGGAAATTGAGCATAGCATCTATCTTCCTCCATCACACCAGCATTCCTCTATTTCCAATAAACAAAAACGAATATTCAATCCCATCTTCAAAGGACTGCAGGGAGGGCTGGAAAGGAGCTGGGTGACCTGCTTGGGTGACAATCACCACAGGCCACCCAGGTCAGACCCTAGGCCTTCCAGTCCTCTGGGCAGGGACTTTTCTCAGTCTCAGGCAGGTGTGAACATGGGTGTGAACCGAACATCCAGGTGGGGAGAGAATTCTCCTCAGGCCAGAAAAGAAAAGGACCTCCCCGGTTTGCTGAGACTCCATCGCACCCAGACATCGCTTGTCCACCAGCAGGCACCCTGATTCCCGGCTGCCAACAGCCTGGCAAGAAGAAGCAGATGAGCAGCTCAAGAAGCACCTCCCGTCACGGGAGCTGGCTGCCCGGGGTTTCTTCTTGGGAGAAACCAGAAAGGAAGGCGGCTAATCCAAGCGGTGCCAGGTAAGCAGGGCCTCCTGAGGTGGACGGGGTGGTACTGGTGGGCTCCACAAAATTAAAGCCTCATCACCGCCCAGGTACAGACTCAGGGTTTCTCTTTGTTTTCCTTTTCCATCTTTATGAAAAGTTTGCAGTGTCTCTGTTGTCGCAGCGCACACTGGGTGGCCAGTATGTCACAACGAATGTGGCTGACTCGATGGGCTCTTGACAGTTCTTTTTGAAAGTTTTCACACACTCCTGACCATGACCTCCATCCAGGGCCATAGGTCCTTGAGCATCAATTCAATGACAACTCAGAGTGAAGGGACTTTCTCTGGGGCCTTCATGTGGTATGATCTTAGAGAACCTTCCCGCAAATCAGGCCAGAGCTCCACGGCCTGCTACGGCCTCCTCTCCCCTCTCCCTTGCAAATGCCTGCTCAGAGCACTCGGCCCCTCTTCCCACAGCCTCCCCAGCTGCCTAGGGCAGGTTAAATCCTCATTCCTTTGAGCCTGCTGCTTTGTTTATTCCCTCTTAGCGGGGCTCTGTTTACACATGTGGCTCCTTCCCTGACACCCCTTCTGGGAGCCGTGCCTGCCCCCAACACATGGCTTCCTCACTTCCTCACTTTGGCACTCAACCCAACGCCTGGCACTTAGTAGGCCTGTCACAGACGGAACACAGACTGGTGAAGACATCTGGTCTCCAACCTTCTGCTCCAGCGGTGGGTGCTGCCTTGGCCCCATGACCTCAGAAGGCTCCTTGAAGCCAGGACTCGTGGGGAAGAGGGAAAGTGTTGATTAACCTGGCAGGATGCCCTGGGAGGGCTTCAGAGAGGCAGGGTGACGGGGTGGGAGGGAGGCTGGGAGTGGGCAGAGGGCTGCATGATCAGCCCTGCCTTTGGCTCCTGAGAGACTAAAAGCAATCTCTAGAAGGTGCCCTGGAAGCTTCCAGACTAACCTAGCCAGTGACTCCAAGCCAGCCTTAAACCACGATATCATGGCCTATCAAGGCCTGGGCTTTGCTTTAAAATGGGGAAGGAAGGAGGGTTTCTTAAACCTCGGACAAAGACTCCCCCACCAGCCAGTCAGGGGACGCCCTGCCCAGCAGCCGGGCAGCTCCCCAACTTGGCTCCCATCCCCAGTTCCTCCACCCCAGAGTCTGGCTAGCTCCCCAATTTGGGAGGCAGCTCGCCATGAATGAACACAGCTCATTAGCGTTCCCAGCACATTATACTCGTTAAACAACCGCCTGGCCAGCCGTGTACTCCACCCCACCCCACTCCCCCTTTGCTTTTTCAGTTTCCTCTCCCAAGCCCCTCTCTCTGCTGGGTCTCCCCACCCCCTCCCTACAGCCAGGCCACCTGCTCCCTCTGCACAGTGGAGAGGAGGCAGGCCTGTCCCGTTGCTTCTGCCAGGAGGGCTCCGCCAAGCCCCACTCTGCCCACTGGCCACAGCCGGCAGCCCCCCAGAGGGAGACTTGGGGCTGGGGCTCCCCATCCGGTGGTATGAGCCTCCTCTGAGTCCCCTCAGCCATGTGTGCTTGGGAGCAGCGGGCCACCTCCTGCCTGTGACTCAGAGAAACTGCCCTCCTGCCAGCTTTCTGCTCAGGGTCCTCGCCTCCATCTCCACCCACCCTTTCTGCAGCACCACGAGGTGGCAGAGCCTGGGTGAGGCGGCAGAGCACTGTGGTTTTGATTTCCAAACTGCAAAAGGCAAGAATGAGACAAAAGTCTGCTATCCGAGCACTTATTAAACACCAATTATTGAGTGAATGTAGTATGCACACCATACAGGGACTCAGCAACTCAGCACAGTATAAAAATGGACCTGGCCCACAGTGAGCTCATGATCCAGCGGGGGAACAGAAAAAGGAAAGTCACTCAACACAATTAGTTTAGTAACAGGAGGTGAATTTGCAGAGAACCCAGAATGTGGGGCTCAGAGTAAGGCTGGAAGGCTCCCTGGAGGAGGAAGCACTTGAGCTGAGCCTTGAAGGATAAGCAGACATTGATTGGATAGCAAAGCAGGAAGGGCTTTCTGGGCAAAGAGAACCGCATGAGGTAAGGCACATAGACAGCAGCAACATCCTCAGTGGCTGAGCTGTGGCAGGTCAGCAAGGCAGGGGTTCAGGTGGGCAGCATGGGTGGAGGTCAGAGAGGTGACGGGGCACATCCCAGAGGGCCTGGTGTAGCCGTTCTCTGGATTTACTGGACTTGCAGAATCCCCTGGGTTGTCCCTGAATTCAAGTACGTGCTTACATGTGTGTGTGTGTGTATTTACAATGCACTATCCCCAGAACCAATAGCAGTGGTGGCTTCCAAGGGAGAGACTGGATGGTGGCAGGGGGACAGTTTCAGCATATGCCTTTTTTCTACTGTTTGGATTTCTTTGCTTGTATTGTATGAACTAACTCCCCATAATCACCAATACATTTTTAAATATCCCCTGGGGTGCTCATTATAAGTGCCAATTCCTAGGACACACCCAAAACCTTTTTCATCAGAATCTTCATGGTTAGCAAGTTTCAGAGACCATGCTCTAAGAACCAAGGCCTGGTGTACGGAGTTAATGAGTTTGAACTTGAACCTGAAAACTGGGGAGCCACTGAAGGAAGGGGCCTGGCAAGGACAAAGGGTCTGAAGCTTGCCTGCCTCCCTTCTCTCCAGTTTCCACATACTGTTCGCAAGCATGAGTCACATCACAGAGAAAGATAGCTGGGGGCAGAGGCATAAGGAGAGGGGACAGAGCCATGTGACGCTGGTGCATAGCAGCTTCAATCACAGAAGCCAGAGCCAGGAGGGGATGAAGAAATGATCAAATCAAATACCACTGCACAGCTGGTGGCCCACAGAAGTGAAGCCACCAGCCCATGTGGCAAAGGAGTTGCCAAGGGGGGCCATGAATGAGTCTAAATCTTGCTCCGCTAGGCCACACACCTGTGTAAAAGACAGCATCCAATCCACCGGGCACCTACCCCATAAGGACTGAGACACCAGGAATCGCTGGGAGGTGGTGCCAGCAAGACTCCGAATCTTTTAGTTTTAATCTCGAAACCCCATGATGGACTCAAATTTGAAGAAGGGTGGACCACTTGAGGCTCTCAATGACAAAGTTCTTAGACTTAAGATCAGGTGGCTTTTATAAAGGCCACCATCTGCCTCCAGGACAACTCTAGCAGATGAGAAGCACTGGGAGCAAGAGAGAAGCAAAGAGGGGAGAGGAAGAAAGGAGAGGAGATGAAAGGGAGAAAGCAGGCCAGGGAGTCTGTGCCGGCCGCAGTTTGCTCATTCATTTATCAACCATTGATTGCATGCCAGCTGTGAGCCAGCTGAATGCTTCTCCAGAGATAAGCCTGTCAATCCCCCACTTTACAGACGAGGAAATGGAGCCCCTAGAGGACAAGTAGCTGACCCGGGGTCACGGCGCTGACTGGCTGTCTCACAGCTTCTGTGCGGTTCGTGTTTGCAGTCTAGCTCCTCGCCCAGTGTCAGGAGCCAAGTAGGTGTTCAATAAATGTGTGTGAAAGCAAAATGAACTGGGATGAGAGCGGAAAACTCAGGCCCCTATCTTGGAGGAAAAACAGAATTGAGAGTCCAGGAATAATAACAGTTGTTCAGCGCCAGAGCAGCTGGATCTGGATAAGCAGACCCAACCCAGCGACCCCAGGCGG